TTTAATGTTGGAGAAGTAATTTGGAATATATGAAAAAGATTCCTATTTTTTTCAGTTTTAGAAATATAACCCAAGCATGTTTTTTTAAAAAAAAAATAAAATCATGCTTTTGAAATTCTTAATGGGCACTGCTGCTTCTTGTCATGAGCAATGAAGATGATTCTGTTAGTGTTGCTTCTGGAGCAGACTGAAAGATTTGACATTAACTTAGATTTTTTTGAGTTGTGTCGTTTAAGTTCTCTGTTATGTGTATCTATATCAGAAACACATAAAACTTTATTTTTCTAATTTTTAAATATATTATTGGCCCTCTACAGTTTGCTTGCAGAAGATACTATGTTTTGATTTTACAAATATTTCCTTCTCAACTTCATGCATGAAGTGATCCTGTTTCTTTCCTCCCAGTCTCTGATCAGACACATCAATGGTTTTCTGACACATTTTTTTTCCTACCCCAGCTGCTTCTGCATTATTCTAGGGGTGATAGCCACCCATCTCGCTCCCTCTGTCCTTACTAGGTAGCAGTGACCTTATAACTACTTTCTTTTGCTCTTCCCATACCTCCCCTCACAGCTGTCGGCCTACTTTTCTCTTGAACTGCCTAACTGGGTTAACATAATGGTTCACCATTGAGCAGTTGTACTCCACATCTACTCTGTATGAAGATTTCTTCGTGTCTGAAACACAGCTGGCAGAGCTCTGTGCTGCTGGTCTAATAAATGATGGTGCTTCTCCTTGCAGCCTTGCCTTGTTTATGCCCTTTGACCAGCACAGCTGTAATAAAATTGGTCCTGCTTTTTTTCTTTTTCTGGTTAAACTGTGAAGTCCAGAGAGTGTCTCATATGTGTTGGAGCAGAATCTGCCTTAATGCTTTAGGCAGTACCTTTTTTATCCATCTCGGTTTCATACAAGCATTTTTTTTTAGGCAGAAATTGTAGAGTCTGATTTTGGATAAATTTGAATGTAAATATGCACTGACTTTGCTTACATGTCAGTATCAGTATGTTGGCAAATTGGATGTTACAAATGGTACCAGGCAACCTCCTTCCAGCAGACCTGGAGCCGTTTGACTGAAGACCCTGATCTCCACAATCGCTGATTTTCTAATCTGAACAGATTCTTAAACACACAAAATGTTTGGGTTGGAGAAGCTCTTTTAAATAACTTGGCTCATAATATGTTACGTAGTTTTAATAATGAGACTGAATCCCGTGTCACTCAAAAATACAGAAACCTTTATTTTCTGGAGTAAAATACAATAAAGACAAAGAAATTCTGGTAAATAATTTAACCTTCAAAATTGGCAGGCTTGGTAAACTGCACCTGAAAAGCCAAAGAGAGTTGTATGTCATTGCTTAGGAAGAGCAGGGCTTGGTTGCTAATGCTATTCTGAACACTGAAATACAGTCTCTAGTAGTGTGCAGGCTGTGATTTTGATTCGTTTGTTTGTTTTGGAGTAGTAATGTTAAGTACTGTCTTCTCTACACTATAGAACAAAGAAATTGTCATGTATTAAATGTGCTTTTTGTTTTCTTTTTCCTTGGGCGTAATTTTTATAAATTGAGATACACCTAGCAAAAACTGGGGTTAGCCAATTTAGAAGAGTTTGATACAAAATCCTGAAGAAACTGGTTTTCCTTCAAATATACAAGAAAAGATCATAATACTGAAGACTTTTATTCTCATCAGATCTGTATCTGGCACATGAGTTGGAATAGTGTTTGGCAGGATTAAACTATTAAAGTGTTGCCAGCAAAGGGTGATCTTAGGATGAGTTTATGTCAGGAAAATGAAAGGCAAGCTGGACCAAAGATATTTTAAAAATATTTTATTTTAATCAGTTTAGGCCTATTGTTTGACTGAGCTGATAAACAGAAATAAAGTAAAACATAATGTTTTCCACCTTTCAAGGTAGCTTATATGTATAGTTAGTGGCACAGAACTCATTTGGTAGATATGTTTATGGTAGGGGTAATTTTTCTTGGTTTACTGGGAATTTTTTTTAGTATAAGATCTAGCTTTAGAGCAGGGAAGAAACTAACGAATTTTGTGGGAGGGAAGCATATTTTTTCATAGCCTTTCACTTGGAGCATCTGGCTGGAAAATATTTTGGGTATGATGTTCCAAAAATGAAAGCAACAACAATATACTTTTTATAACCATTGCTTTGAAAACCCTGTATTCCTTTAACTCAAGTCCTTATGAATTAGAAAATGAAGCATAATGCTTGATGGTGGCAGTGTAAAAATGTCTTCTTTGGACTGAGGTTGTAAGTTCAAGTCAAACATGTTGCAATCATAATTCTGAACATTGGACAGTGAAAAAATCAGGATGTATGTCTGCTGTGTGGTGATCTGCATATTGCATGGCATAATAGCTACATTTGAAACTGTTTCAGTTCTATAGGCACAGAGGGAAATGTTAAATTTGTACTGTAATTGCTGATAAACTTGCTTCAGATGTTTAACATGATGATACTTAAACCTTTGAAGAGGAGAATAGTTGCAGTACTGAAAAAAGCAACCTCTTAGTTAAAACAGATGTTGGCACTACTTGTATGTTTTCAGCTAGGAATAAATAGCTTGTAAACCTATAGCTAGCTATATATATTTGTAGACAAATATTTGTGATTTAAGTATTTTTGTGATGTACAAAGACAGGCAGTAACAATTTATTTTTCAAGGACTTGCAGACTTTTCTCTAGTCTTCAGAAATTCCAGTGCTCAAGAAATATCTTTAAATTTAAGCAGTAACATGTAAAGATAGATGCTGAAGTCTTGACCCGGTTGTTCGAAGATTTTTACGGAATCAAAGGGACTGCTTGTGTTATGGCTATATTTACTTGGGTTTTTTTCTTTGATGTATTTGTGAAGGACACGCATTTATATATGTGTGTAATAAAAATCAGCGAACTGATACCATAATATTTGGCTCTTCACTGAAATTCCGTTTCTTCTTTGACTCAAATAGCAGTAGCAAGTAGGCTAAAGAAGTTCAAAGAGGAGCCTTTGATCTTCCTAGTTGCATGAGGAGCCGTTACGGGGCACTTGCTCTCCCTACAGAGGCTGCCCCTTCTCCAGAGGGATGCAGTGTCCAGAGCAGGTTTCTCTGTGTGCGGAAGACTGACATGGTTCTCAGAAAGGATAGTGGTAGAGCAAGTGCTGTCCTGGTTATAGTGCACCATCAACACCTCTGGAAGTTTCTTTTTTTATGGATACCAAATCTGTCAGTCAAGCTTCTGCCTGCTGCATGTTGGTAGGTGGCAGCAAAGGATGAGAATCAATTATTTGGGGTGGTTTTATGTATTATTGTGATACCTCTACAATTGGATGGTGCCTATTTGTGTGTTTGAAAAAAGGTTTATGTTTCTGGTGAATGTGGTTTTGTTCAAAACAAAAAAGGCTGAGCTAAGGGATCTGCATTATATTATATATTTAACAATATTTTCCCTGCTATTTAAATAAATTTCTACCCAGACAGTGAAAAAGTGGGAAGATTGAACATGGGAAGTACAAGACATGTTTGCCTCTTGGAATTTTAGCTCTGCCATATTCCCTGTCCTTATCTTAGTATCTTTGCGTGATGTACTTTGTGGACTTAATACGACATGCAGTGCACTAGCTTAGAACTGCTTTGGTCCTTTGGGCTTCTAGTAATGAAAAGTTTCAGAGCAACTTTGAAAAGGTCTGTCTGACAAAGTACATCTGCGTAAATGCTGGGATAAACCCTGGCTGGCAGTATCGAGGGAATCCACTGCAAGTCCTAATGGAGAAGTATGATTGAGATGACATTTCCCTTCACCTCGGATTTGTACAGAAAAACTTCTCTTGAACCTTCTGCACCACAAGGAGCTGGAGGACAGGTATTCTGCATGCACAGCATGGGAACAAAGATACTTTGATTTTATTCTGTAGACTCAGTTCTTTGACAAAATCATGAAGTAAATGGATACATTGGTGTTCACACCCACTTATATCAGCAGTGTCCAATGTTAAATATTTATAGTTGGTAATAACAGCCCATCTGTTTAAGATTTTTCTTAGTCTCCTGGGCAGACTGTGTTGCAAAAAAAAGATGGAATCACTTTGAGTATATTATCTTTTTTTTGTTGTTTTGCCTACTTAGATGAAAGGCTTTAAATCCCTGCAATTCAGGTTGTCTAGAACTCAGCATTCTCTTATGGTTAAAAAAAGTATATGCAAAGGTGAATTGTTTGATTAAATGAGATGTGACTTTGTACTTATGATAATGCAGTTGAGTTAATTTATGCATGTTTTATGTATAAACAATCTATTTGTTCAGATGATTATTATAAAACTGATTTTTCAGGGAAGTATTGAACACTGATCTTTATAAAGAAGTGACTGTTTTAAGCAGGAGTCCTACTTCACATAATGGTGATTATAGGTGGGTTAAAAGTAAAAAGGAAGCAGAAAAACTAAACCTGCTTGTAAACCCTGGGAATGATGTCAGCTGAAATGTTCAGTATGAACTGATATCACCAGCTCTACCTCAATTGGTGTGTAGTCTCCTTTTCCCAGGCAGAACCAGTCTTTAAACTTGTTTACACTAAAGGGCTTTGTTGAAAGATCTTTTAATTGTAGTTGAGGAACGTGCCTGGCCTGAGGATACTCCTGGTCTGTCATGGTTATATCTAAACTAGGACACAAATGTACATCCCTCTTGTGAATCCAAAGGCTTCAACTATTGCTGTTTGGGTACAGTCAGAGTTGGTCACTCTTTAAACTGTTATTCAAGTAAGACAGGGTGCAGTATGTTTCTGTGATGCAAGGAACATGTATGCAATGCAAAATAATGTTAAAGAACCTTTCACTGGGTCTTGTGTAACGTGCTGGTGATTATTGGATATCTGCTAGTCAGAGCTGCTCCTATCTTGCATTTATTATTTTAACATCATATATATGGATGTCACAGACTAATATTTCTGAAACTTGTATGTGGACTAAACATCATTTCTGTTATTTATTCTGTGTTTCTAGTCCGGGACTGTAAAGCTGACCAAGCCTGTGGCGTTATGGACCCAGCAGGATGTCTGCAAATGGCTGAAGAAACATTGCCCTAATCAGTATCAAATCTACAGTGAGTCATTCAAACAGCATGACATAACTGGTAAAGTATGCACTATCAGAAATATTTTACTTAAAATGAGGCAAATTGTTTTACTTCATTGTTAATAGGTTGTGACTGTGCACTGAGGGCTTTTTGTTGATTGTATGACTAGAGAGTAGCAAGGTTTAGAGCAGGGCGAATATACCAGCTTTTATAGGATATGGTAAGTGATTTCTCCATCTCCCTAAAAGATAAATTTCAGATTATTCAGGGTTAATATAATGAAGTCAGTCAGTATGTGGGTAAGGGCTACACCCTGTTCATTCCACACAAATTAAAAAAAAAAAACCCCTAAACATTAGGAAATGTCCTATGAAGAAATATGTAAATGAGTTTTTTTCACTGAGTTGTTTAACCTTGAGTTCATATTCTTTTTTGCCTTTTTAAAAATTTATTTATTTATTTAAAATTAGAGTCCTTAACAGGTAGGATGGGAAGCAAGCCCAACTGACCCCCTCTCTAGAGCTGAAGCAGGATCAATACAGCAAATTAATTTCTGACAGATGTTTGTCTAACTTTGTTCTGGAAAATTTCCAGTGGAGGAGATTTTAACATCTCTCTATTTCAGTATTTTATGGTCCTTAAAGTTGTTATTTTCTGAGTATCAGTCTAAACTATTATTTCATAGAATCACAGAATCAATTAGGTTGGAAAGGACCTTGAAGATCATCCAGTCCAACCATTAACCTAACATTGACAGTTCCCAACTACACCATGTCCTTAAGTGCTAAGTTGACCCTGCTCTTAAACCCCTCCAGGGATGGAGACTCCACCACCTCCCTGAGCAGCCCATTCCAACGCCTAACAACCCGTTCTGGAAAGAAATACTTCCTGACATCTAGTCTAAACCTTCCCTGGCACAACTTGAGGCCCTTCCCTTTTGTCCTATTGCTTGTTACTTGGTTAAAGAGACTCATCCCCAGCTCTCTGCAACCTCCTTTCAGGCAGCTGTAGAGGGTGATGAGGTCTCCCCTCAGCCTCCTCTTCTCCAGACTAAACACCCCCAGTTCCCTCAGCCGCTCCCCTTACGACCTGTGCTCCAGACCCTGCACCAGCTCCGTTGCCCTTCTCTGGACACGCTCGAGTCATTCAATGTCCTTTTTGTAGTGAGGGGCCCAAAACTGAGCACAGGAATCGAGGTGCGGCCTCACCAGTGCCGAGTACAGGGCTCAGATCCCTTCCCTGTCCCTGCTGGCCACGCTAGTGCTGACACAAGCCAGGATGCCATTGGCCTTCTTGGCCCCCTGGGCACACTGCTGGCTCCTGTTCAGCTGGCTGTCAATCAACCCCCCAGGTCCCTCTGTGACTGGCAGCTCTCCAGCCACTCCTCCCCAAGCCTGTAGCACTGCTGGGGGTTGTTGTGGCCCAAGGGCAGCCCCCGGCATTTGCCCTTATTGAAACTCCTCCAGTTGGCCTCAACCCATCGCCCATTTCCAGCTAGTGAAACTAATTTCTTTCCCAAGCGTAGCTCAAGCACAATAGGTCTTTCCTTTATCGGATAGGGGGCTTCCCAGTTGCATGTACTTTCCTTGTCTAGCCTAAAAAATACTTGCTTGTTCTATCCTGGTTTGTCCCCCAAACACCTGCAGGACCTCCTCAGCACTTCTTGTCTTGTCTTAGAAGAATATATTAAAAAGCATAATTGTATTTTATTTTCCTATTTACTTTAGAAGTTGATATTGATTTTGTTGATCTGCTTGACTTGTTAACTCCTACTGAGTTTGCTGTAGTGGTATTTTAGCTGAATACTTTGAACTAACATTAGTTAAGCAGAGTAACTGGGTTAATGTAACTACAGATATAACTTGGGACTTAAATAGCATTTTTACTCATATCACAGGCAGGAATTAATCTGTAAAAAGTTTTATGTGGAACACTAATTTGTTCTCTGAAGTGGTGGTATACAAAACTGATAATTGGCATTCAGACTTTTAATATCAAGTGGAGATTTGAATTTCACATACAAATCTCAGTCATAACAATCAGGTATTGTTAACTAATGTATGTTTCAATCGGTGTCTGTATACATATACTTGTGGTGTTTCAAATTTCACATTGATTTGTTGTTATTCTTTCCTATAATATATGAATGATTGCAAACCTGGCAAATTAAACTACCAATATTTGTTTACTATGTAGTCATGAATATGCATACACACTTATATGTAAGACATGGGTTGTATTAGTTTGGTAAATGTTGAGTTTTAGTACATTACCATTGTGCCTATTTTCTCTAAGTCATCATCTGTTGAATACAGTCCATAGGAATGTAGTCTGTGTCTCCACCCATGTGTACAGAGCTGACTGCATCCAAAGAACTACCAGGAAAAATTGAAGCTATTTTAATTTTTTTTTTCTATCATATTGTCTCTTTTTAGAATTAAAGCACTGAGATTAAAATAATAAAAATTTGTTTTAATTTCAACATAAACAGAGATGGAAACCTTATAGTTTCATTGCAGATGTGCAAAACTTCAAACTTCATAGACCCCTATGAAAAAGCAGAATCAAGATAAATCTTTCTTACTTTGCACAAAAGAGCTATAAGGAAAATATTAGTACGAGTGTTAGAAAGTAAGTCTGCAGGAAAGAAAATAACTTCAATTCAGTAACTACCAAAGAAAAGAATAAATGCGATCAATGTTTATATGGATTTAATAAAAGTATATTGTGATAATATTATGAGTGAAATCAATAACTCAGGAGGATATTTTCAGTGCTGTTGGTCCCTGTGACTCTGATTATTTGAAATCTAATAAGGGGATAGAACAGTGGATTTGTGGCTCAAAAAAGTGGAGCATGAAAAGAGCATGGAAACTAATGTGAAGATTAAGCCAAGGTAGTGTTAACTGTTTCCAGATATGGCTATGGAAAAGTAATGTGATTGTTGAAAATTTCTCAAGAATTAAATGGCTTTACAGGCTGCTTTGATATGGAAAAATATGATGGAAAAGAACTTGAAGAAAGTGACATGAAAAGGATATTTAAACTTTATTTGAAGATAAAATCTAAGGCATGGTCATAAGCCAGGAAAATAGTCTTCGGCCAACATATCTAGCAGTTTTAACCATAGGTATTGAAAAGTGTGGCGTTTTACTTGAGACTGTTAGTTGCTGACTATAGTTTATTGAGTTGGGGGAAAAAAACATAACTCAAAATGTCCTCTCTTTTGTGAAGATTTTATACCTTTTAACTACTCCTGACAAAAAGCAGCTGCAGGTGTATAAGAAAAAAAAAAAAGCGCTTCATCTAGTCATTTACCTAGTAAGAAAAAAGATCTTCATATTCACAGTGATCTTGAGGATGCCATGGGGCAGGGTGTACTCTCATCAGATGTGCAGATGACATGAAATTGAGGGTAATGGTCAATAGACTCAAGAGTAGGGCTGCCATTCATAGAGGCTTAGGCATAGGCACCAGACATAGGCTGGAGGAATGTATCAACAGGAATCTTATGAAATTCAACAAGGACAAATGCAAAGTTCTGCAGCTGGGAAGGTCAAGCCCCTTGTGCGCCGTTCAGCCTAGGGCTGACTGACTGGGTAGTAGCTTTGGTGAAGAGAACCTGTCATCTTGATAGTCAGGGGGATGAGATGAACCAGTGTTGTGCCTTGGCAGCAAAGAATGCTAACAGAATCATGAGCAGTATTAACAGGAGCTAAGTGAGTTGATCAAGGATAGTCATTATTCCCCTTTCCTCTGCACTTTTTAGACTCCTGTTCTTGGATCTCCAGTGCAAGTTCAGGTGAGGGCCACTTGCTCAGGGTGGGAGAACTTGCTCTGAGCAGGGGATTGAGGGAGCTGAGCTTGTCCTGCCTGGGGAAGAGGCAGCTTCCTGGGGTGGGATGGGGGGACTAGCAGCAGCCCCCAGTATGTAAGAGGATGTTATCAAAAAGATGGACCTATACCCTTCACAGGGATATATGAGAGACACCAGAGTTCAGCTGAAAGAAAAGGCTGAACATAAGGAGAAACATTGTCCCCATGAGGACAGTTGGGCGTTGGAACAGATTGTTTAGATATGTTGAGAAGTCTCTGTTCTGGGAAGGTTTCAAGCCCCAGCTGACAAAACCTTGAGAAATCTGATCTGATCTCATAGCTGATGCTGTTTTGAGCAGGAGGTTGGGCTAGAAATCTGCTGGGGCCCCTTCTAACCTGAATTTTTCTGTGGTCCTGTAATTTGCTGAGAACTTACTGAGTACCTCAGAACCTTGGTACCTCAGTGTGTATTTGTGGCTTTGAATTTACCAGGCAGCAATACTTTTAAATGATTAGGGAGTTCTTGAGAGATGAGCTGTTCTTTGACAGTCTTAGCCTGTACCATTGAAACAAATGAATTTTTTTGCAATGTCTCAGCATTAACAGGAGCAAGCCCGGGCATAGAATGACTAAAGTATAACCATTTTTTGGAAAATGGCCCATTGACAAAGTAATAAAGATGATGTCTAAATAACTTACTGATGTGTGATTTGTTGAAAGAAATCCTGCTTCACCTCTTGTTTTTACGCTGTGTTCCCCAGTGTGCTAATGAATGTCTTCAGAGCATGAGGTTTTAATGCTATGATCATTAAACAAACCTCATTCTGTCAAAGTAATACCCAAGAGGTACCTTGGTCCAAGTGAAGGAATTTGATAGGAGGTACTTGAAAGGACTCAAGCCTTTTCAAATTAAACTTTTAAAGAGGAAAGGAACAGGACTCAAGAAAACCTCTTTTTAGTTTTAGAAGGGACCAGAACTTATGCATATTCATTAAATACCAAGCGGCACCTTGGAAAACAAAAACCTGCTACAAAAAGCCATAAAATCTGGCTAATTCTATAACCTCTAAAGATGCTTACATTAAATCAGCTATACTGACATATTTTTATGAAATTCATAAAAAAATCTTGCATTAAATCTTGATTGCTTTTTTCCCCTTCAATAATATCTTTGCAAATGGTAGGGCTTTATCATATCAGCTGAAATACTCAAGTTATTTAGCATGTTGGTGAAGAAATGG